AAGGGGTCAGACGAGATGGAAGTCTGCCTATGCCCGATGACTTGATGAGGAAAAGACGCAGGTGTAGGACAGCAAAAAATGAAGTAATCAGAAACCTGAGAGAACTTCAGTGACATCTTGCCAGGGCTGCAAACGTCGAAGACATGCAGCCAGAATTCAATCGACCCATAACAGAACAGCATAAGATGAAGGAACGAGCAGCAAGCAACGGGCTTGGGCAAGAACTCAGACCTAGACCACAACGAGGTCCCAGATCACTTATCCATGAAGAAGTCGCTTTAGAGCGTCTGTTGACGTCGGTCCAAACACTTACTTCCCCTTGACGAACTCCGCATAATTGTCTGCATTTGGCGAGCACAGCACCACCCAGCGGCCTTCACCCGGGAATTGCGTCTCGCGGGGAGCTCGTCCATCTTGGAGTAGCCAGACAGAAGGGCACTTGCAGAGAGCTGTAGCCAGAGAGGACAGTCATTGCTATCGCTGGCTGATCATTGCTGGTGAGCATGAGCAGAGCCCTATCACACACCACTTCGTCGATAGCAAGACCCAGAGAGAGTGCGTTGTCTTAGGTGATTACACCGTCACCTGACTTCAAGAGCAAAGTGTGTTTGCATCGAGCATCAACCAACATACAAGCTTTAAAGTTATTTGAAGCCAGAAGCCAACTACACTTCGATGCCGAACAAGGGTTTCACAGTTGCAATATCATGACACCTGTTTGCTTACCTCGAAGGGATCGCCAGTCAACATCGCCTTCCGAAGCCTGTTTGACATGGATTGCAGACGGATTGGAGAAATCAAAGAAAAGGATGGTGTCCTTATTGATGGTGTCCGTGTACCTGCGAGGCAGACTGATAAAGTTGGGCACGTAGGGTTGGCACATAACAAGGAAGCATCTCTCTCGTTGAGGAAGGCCTTGTTAGAAGCAGCGTGCTCAGCGACACAAGTCAAAGCACACAGTTACAGATTTGGCCAGCCAAGAGTGGTGTACGCGTACCTGTAGGCCACCTGTGCCCCCTGCTCTGCCAAGTGGTGCAGGAGGAGAACCGCAAAGGCAGACTTTCCGATGCCCGGGGTGCCACTCAGGACAACCGCAAAGTCGTTTCCAAGAGCCTCGAGCTTCTTCAGCACCAGGCGGTAGCACTCCCGAATTAGAATGCTGTCCTTTAGGCCTGGTGGCAATCCCTCCCTGAGCTCGGGCGGAATCTGGATGACTCCACTGGCGGTGTTCGCATGCGCGATGGACTCAGCATACTTCTGGAGCCTCTCTGGAAAAAAAAGCAAATCATCATTGTGGTGGGGACTGACCACCGGCAGATCAGACACTCTCGTGAGGATGCAAGAGTCTCCACATCAGCGAATCGCCTTTTGTGAATCGCTTTTGTGGTGGGCACTGCCCAGTGGCAAAATTTGAATTGTGCCCATGCAGAAACTCTACCACAGTCAAACAGCACCTGAAACAGCGATCAGATAGAAGACAATGCTGACAGGTGCGACAAGCGCTTCAGCACACCACGCCAACAGGTGGAGACAGGTACAAAGACTTACCCAAGACTGCAGGGTCTGTAAACCCCGCCGCTGCACACAACAGAAGCTTTCTGTCAGCAGTCCACACGCAGTGACTGGATAAGCCAACTGCAAATGCTAAGCAGGCTATGAGGTTGGAAAGAGTTTCGCTACACCGCAAAACCTTTCCACCTGCATGTTGTCATGACCCACAGAGCAACCCACCAACCTCAGGCAAACACAGATACAAAAACCCTTCTTAAGCAGCAACAATTGAGACAGATTGCCATGGCTCATTGAGCAGACACCTGAACTGCAGGCAAAGAGAGATAGAAAACCCTCTGTGCGGTGTGCCATACCACTCTCTTTGCGAAACATCGAGAAGCAGCAGGGGAATTGCCTGCAGCACAACATTGGCAGCAGAACGCCGCTCATGGTCTTTTCAAATATGTGCACTGGTTTGCTGGGCTGTTCCAAGGAGACCGCTCTCCATGCGTAAGACGACGGTAGAGATACCTGTTGTCTGCTGCAGCTTCAATTTTTCCACCTCCGCCTGCGCGAGCGCGGTCAGTCGCTGCTCCAGCGCGGCCTCCTTCTGCCGCAGCGCGGCCTTCTCCCGCTGCAAGAACTCTGTGCTCTCGCCTGCAGCCGCAGCAGTCTTGATCTGGTTCTCCACATCGTCAATCTCCTTCTCCACACGCTTGATGCTCGACTTGAGGAGCTGTGCCTCATCCTTGACCTGTTCAGCATGAGGCACGCTGTCAACCAAGTTGGAACTTCCGGGAGACTCTGCTCCATCCCGGGGAATGTCTGCTCTCGGCGAGAAACGCCTCAATCCTGACCCCACCCTGTAGTCGGAATGAAACCGGCCCAGCCTCAATCCCTCATACAGAGATGGAGGAAGTGTCCTGAAAGCGAATCGCTGGGGCGTTGCAGGGGCAATGTCTGCCTGCCCGCGCGAACATAAAGTTTTTGCCCCAGCCACTTTGAAGAGCACTGCGGCAGACGCCATTCACCTCACCAGTGACGTCCCGCAAAGACCAATGAATGCGGCGCCTGAGCCATTCCCCACTGCCACTCAGCCCTCGCCATCGCACTCAACTTCGATCATGATGTTGGTTGCAAAAGCTGAGGCCAGTCGCCCGAACGACCCTTGGCCCGTCCGATCGCGAGCAGCGCGCGCAAGAAGGGGCTTGCAAGGAAGAAGACTCTCGACTTCAGCATCCGAAGCGTCCAGCTGGCAGCACACTGCGGAGCTTTTTTTTTTGGCGCGCACACCAAGGGCGTTCAGAGCAAGGCGAAAGTCCTGCTTGAGTCAGCAGTCTGACTCAGGCCCTGACAAGGCCAACGCAAACAGGAGGTATTGGAAGCCCTGAACACTCAGCTCAAACACATTCTGGAAACTCAGGCCAATGCAGCAAAGACTCAAGCAGCTTCAGTCCTGTCGCTTTGTTGGTAGCCTTCTAAAGGGTGACAATTTTCGGACAGCTAACGCAGCACTTTGGAAGGGTTAGGAAGCTTCTGCCAACGCAGCAGCCTGCCAACAAAGCAGAGGCTGCAGCTTTTTTGGATCATGCACAGTAATCGACTGAATCCGCGTACTCATGGGATGTAAAGGGGCAATCTTTTGCTTTAATCCTTTCATTTGCAGATGAGCTTTTCCGGGACTCCCCTTCTTTTCAAATCTCACTCATCTTTCCAAACGCCTGCGAGTATGGTCTACAGACACGCCGCCTAGAGTCGATGGTCCTTTTAGTAACCCAGATACCGCCTGCCATCATGGTAAGTCTTATGCTACTGAGACCTAGTGTAGCCTAAGCTAAGTCAACCCTGTGAAGCGCAGACTTGATGCTGACAATCAGCAGCTGAAGCTGATCAGGCTGTGAGCCTGACAGAGCTCTGGTCACATAAAGCTGGCTGGTTGCGTATGCCAGCTGAGCTGCCATGTCTTTCGACATGCACCTGCCTTGGGATTGGTGAGTGCTTTTCTGGACAGCACTGGGGCTGGAAAGTGATTGGGGATCAGAATTGCAGACTGGGAGATGGGCGTGATGAGAGCGGAGTGACTATAAAGGCACGTGTTTTCAAAAAACGGTCCAAATATTATACTAGTGGTCAATCTCTAGTTGAGTTGCAGAGTTGCAGAGTTGCAGGATCAGCGGGGAAATGTTTGCGTCTAGTTCTGTCTAGGTCTGAACGCACTCAAGTATAGTGCAAGCTAAGATGCTCACAGGTATTCTGCTCATGTGTACAGTGATGTGTCAGAATCAGAAGGGACCCAAGGAGAGGACATCGAAGGTGCTGAGTATGCTGATCGATCTGTCGATGGATCTCAGTCTGGACAGTCACTACAAGGTTTCTTTGACGATCAAGATTCTGGCAGCATACAAGGTCCAAGCTTCTACTGGGCTCTCAACAATGAGGTTAGCGTCAACCCAGTCCAGTGGGCTTTTGGGTCCTACGAAATGACTTGCACGCACCATGTTGGCTTGAAAGTCTGTGTCTGAGATTTACACCAGGGTGTCTGCGCATTCTCTTGCAACTGCCTCGTGCAACATTGGTACCCGTTTATGCAAAACTGACCAGTGTCTTCTGCTGTCAAGCCACTTCTGGGTTTGCTGTGCTGTACAGGGTGTTTCACCCACCTCTCCGGTTGCCAACTGGTCTATCAACAGCGCTTTTAGAGAGCTGATTCCTGTATCACCGTCAAACAGATGCAAACGCAAGGTACGAACTGGATTGCGAAAAGCTGAGAGACATGAGCAACATGATGCCAGCGCAATTTGTCTCGATGCGACTTCGTTGGGTTGCTAAATCTGGTGTGCCGCTAAGGCACGCGTGCTTCGCAGCTGAAGCAATCTTGGCTTGTCATCAGGAAGGCGCCTGGTGACGCTGATTGATGGTGGACTGAAGTCCACACCGATCAGGCTTGTTGCGTGTCCTCTTTGCAGTCCTCCAACGGTGAAGGCGAGCGCTGCCCAGAAGGAGCTTGTCTCGAGGAGGACATTGTTGGGGTGGTATTCACAATGCGGGCGCTCGAGAGGAAGCGACGCCGTCCGATTCTCTCTCAAGAGATAGAGGAGGCGGAGGAGGAGCACGTGCCAACGCCGCAACCATTCTCACATGTGAGCCGCTCGTTGGTATGCTTGAGGAGCTCTTGTGCCCTGCAATATCCAAGAGAACTTAGGCACTCCGCCCTCTACAGGCTCATCGCGACTTTCATGTTGGCTGGGCGGAAAGTCCTGCCCCTGGTCTACACCTTGTCATTAGAATTAAGGAATCCAGACTTCTACCATTTGCAAGGTGTAGGCCATAAGCAAGCCCGACCATACAGCCGTTGGCAAGAATGACGGTGGGCACGTGCCCGTCTCTGGTCCACACCTTGTCATTGGAAATAAGGAATTCAGTCTTCTGTCGTCTGCAAGGTGGGCCATAAGCGAGCCCCTCCCCACAGTACGTGCCCCGCCTCTGGTCCACATCTTGTCATAGGAAATAAGGATATCAGTCTCCTGCTATCCGCAAGGTGTAGCCCAAAGCAAGCGGTATTCGAAAATGAGGGTATGCTCGAATGCGAGTGTCCAGTGTGTGCTTCATGCAGGTACTCGAGAGGGGCCAGGATGTGCGCTTGCGGCTTCAGGGGAACCCCGCTGAGGATCTGAGTAGCGCAGCAAGCCCACCCCCCGATGCAGAAGCTGGCAAGCACAGCGCAGCCCCCAACTTCGATCCGCCTTCTCATTCGGCGACCTGCGCTTCGGTTGGAGATGTAAGTCCCGATTGTGCAAAGACACTCAGTCTCGTCAAACTTCCAGTGTTGCACCTTGTCGATCGACCTGAGCTTACGGAATCTGTTTGGACCAGGCCATGCAAGCTCGATCCAAAGCGCAGATGGTGGGCAAATATCGGGTCCACACCTTTCATTGGGGATTGGGAACCAAGTTAATTGCCAATCGCAAGGTGTAGGCTATAAGCAAGCCCGACGAAAACCCGCGGTTCTCAGAGCCGAAAATGGGCATGCGTCATGCTTCTTGAGAACCGGGTCTACACCTTGTTATTGGAAGTAAGGAATTCAGGCTTTTGCCATCTGCAAGGTGTAGGCCACAAGCAGGCTCGACCACACCCTGCGATATTCAAAGCCGATGATGGGCACTTCCCTCTTCTTTCTGTTTTTCTCAACAGTCCACACATCGTCATTGGTGCAGACATTGAGTCTCTCCCCATCTGCAAGGTGTGGACCATATGGAAAGGGGGTTTTTGCTCGACGCTCATCATATGCGTGTCCATGTGTGCAGGAACTTGGCGTGGCAACAGGCGATGGTCATGATGTGTGCCAGCAGTCCACGGGATCCGCTGCAGGGGAGCTACATGTGAGTTGGACCATTTACTGATTCTCGATGCCGGAGGCTAGATCCGCCATCGTCTGCGCCAGGCTTAGGCAGTCTCCTTGACGCACTTGTAAGTGCTGCAAAGTAAACGTGCTCAAAAAGGCGCCTCGTCTGTGTCCCAGGTTCGTTCAGAAAAGCGAACGGCACTGCTACTCTCAGGTTCCATTCGACCACTTCGAGCCTCTTAATCGCATTGCAGTAATATTCCGTCGTCTAAAGTTGCCTCATATCTATGCCGGTTGCCCCTAAGCCCCTCGCCTTCTTCTTCTTGTGCAGTACATGGGCCCTTCCCCCGCTCCTCCGCATCCTGCCGATGAGCCTCGCTCTGCTGCTACGGAGCCCACACCTTCGGTGAGTCCACTTGCGAGGACCGCTCAGCTCCTTTTCCCACACGGCAGAGCAGTGCAAAATAAGGTACTTTAACCAGCCCGCGTGGTACAAGTGGTTGTACAAGTTCCCTTCCTCGATCCAGACAAGAGCTCGCTTGTATGGGGAGACCGTTCACTGTCAGTAGGAGGATAGGATCTGAAACGAGTTCCTTTTGGGGCTGGAGGCGCTTGCATACGTCTTGCTCAGTCCTGACCGGCCGCTTTCGACAACCTCACAAGGGAGCCGTAGGTCTTCCTCGTGGCAGTGGTCGTGCACAGCTTCAATATTTGAGCACTCACCCCTCCGCCATAGTGCTTCCCCCCAGGTTAAAGCAGCAAGGCGATCAGAATCTTGGGTGCCAAAGGCTCGTCAAACGGTGAAGAAGAAATCACAGTGAGCTAGTCGTCCCCTCCTTTGTCATCTCGGGCTAGACTCTTGCCAGTGATCCTCGTTAGGATTCAGTCTGATCGGGTCACTGAGCCCACAGAGGCATCTTCATCCGACATAGGGACCTGGTGTCGACATAGGGACCTGGTGCATGCTTTTGTTCCCAGGGTAGCAAGCCTGTGGCTGAGGAGCTTTGGCCCGGCACTGACCTATTTCCTTCTTGCTTCACCCACAGCAAGCGTGCGAAGCCGATTTCTGCCCCAGTGGACGAGGCGGCTCGTGCAGAGATCCGGGCGGCTCGTGAGGCTCACTTCCGAACTTTGGAGGGATTGAAGCTTCAACCAAACGGGCAAGAGGTGCGAACGATTCTGGCTAACCTCGGAGTTCCGCTTGCAGCCCTTGCAGGCCCAGTTTTCAGTGTTGTGACTCGGGTTTAGCCTTGGTTTTTGTGGTTAGAGTTCCTCGCTGCCAAGGTGCAGCTTCCCGTGCACATCTCTCTGGAGATTGCTGAACTCCTTTCTGCCGTTCACCTAGATTCGACTGCGATGTTAAGCAGTCCAGATGGCCATTAACAGCCGCCACCTTAAGAACTGACGGAAACACGCGCTTGCTTCTTTTCGTAGGTGATGGCGCGGCCGATGTCCGAGGCGCAAGGAGGGGGGCATCAAGCCCCCCAAGAAGCAGTCGCGGCAGAGGCACTTGGCGAGCGCTCGTGCGTGGACGTGACGGTGGCCGAAGGCGGCGAGGAGGACCAGCAGGGTGGCGAGTGAGCCTTTGCTCTTGAATGACTCGTCAAGTCCGTGCCTGTGAGTGCAGGGCGTCTGATCATCATCAAAGACGTTCTCAGAACAGCAAAACGTCCTCACGATGATCGCCAAGGTTATCACTCGCATACTTCCGATCGTCGCAGGCACCTCGTTGCGGCGGTGCGACAGTCCGTCCAGCACAGCCCATGGGAGGCGCTCAGGCAGGCTGAGGTGAGGCTAACGGTTATTAGAGAAGGCACGTGCTACGTTGTTAGAGGCTTTCATAGATTCATCAACGGGAAGATTTGCGGGACTGGCCTGCAGGGCCAGGCGGGTGTCAGGACCGTTCATGAGGGGTAAGGCATGCGGGGTCGGGTAATGCATCAATATCAGCGTCAGGCTTGGGTCCCATTTGTTGGGTCAGACTAGGACGCAAGCTCGAGCCAGAGCGCGGATGGGCATGGTAGGCACGTGCCTTGCCTCTGGTCCACACCCTGTCGTTAGAAGTAAGGAACCAGCCTTTTGCCATCTGCAAGGTGTAGGCCATAAGCCAGCCCGGCCACACAGCGGTTGGCAGAATCGATAGTAGGCACGTGCCCTGCCTCTGGTCCACACCTTGTCTTTAGAAATAAGGAACCAAGCCCTCTGCCACTCGCAAGGTGTAGGCCAAATTAAGCGGTATGAGGGTAGGCTCGGATGCGAATGCCAAATTCCGTGTGGACTTTACGCAGGAACTCGAGAGGCGCCAGGATGCGCGCCAGCGGCTCCAAGGGACCCTCGCCGCGAATTCCAGTGACGCATCAAGCCGGTCCCCCGTTGCAGAAGCCGGCGAGCCCAGCGCGGTCCCCAACTTCGATGCGCGTTCTCGACTCGCGACCTGCACTTCAATTGAAGATGTAAGTTCGGGTCGTGCAAAGGCATACGATCCCGCCAAACTCTTTGCCAAACTCTTTGCTTGACCTGAGCTACAAAGCCTGGCTGAACCATGCGATGCAAGCTCATCGACAGCGCAGATGGTGGGTGAGGGCCTGTCTCTCCCTTTAAGAGTTCGGTCTACACCTTGTCATTGGAAATTAGGAATTCAGCTTTTCGCCATCTGCAGGGTGTAGGCCATAAGCAAAGTCCGACCACGGCGCGCTCGGCAGACAACGAGCACGCAGCTAGTCTCTTCTCGTTGCCTGCTTGTTCGAAACCATGGTTCACGCCCCAACTCTGGTATCAATGGGTCGCGTTTTTGGTCAGCTGCAAGGTGTGAACCAGAAGAAGCAATCTTCGAACTCTCGGCGCACGATGACAGGATCAAGTGCTCACCTGTTCTGAACATGCACGCGTGTATGTGCAGGATTGTGGGGCAAGAGTGGACGAGAATCAGAGTACGCGCCAGCAACTCCCGGAGATTGCCGCTGAGGATGTGATCAGCGCAATCACCCTGCAGAGTGCCGTGCGCCAATCGCTCCGGGGGATTGCCGTTGGAGTTGTCAGCCGCGCAGCAAGGCCGTCCTCTGTTGTGGATGCTGACCATCCCAGCATAGCCCCAAACCGAAACGAGCCTTCCCTCGAAGATGTAAGTTTCAACTGCTCGAAAAACGCATTGATGACTGATCGGATCAGGCATCACATTCTCTGTGTATGCGCGAAGTCCAAAGAGATCCTCTTCCTCCTTGTGTTTAGGCTTAATGAAGGCCTTCAGGATCCGCCTCCAAGAGATTGGTCACGTAGGGAGTGACTGTGCTCTGATCCCTGTCCTCGAAGCCGCCATCCTCTTTGAACTCCTCCACCAAGGGCGGCCAATCCAATACACTCGTATCACCGCACCGGCTTGTTGGATGCAAGCTCGAGTCTGAGCCGGATGGCTATGGTATGCATGCGCCTCCGGTCTACACCTTGTCATTGGAAGTAAGAAACCAGTCTTCTGCCATCTGCAAGGTGTAGGCCATAAGCGAGCCCCTCCAAAACGAACGTGCCCGCCTCTGGTTCATATCTGGTCCATACCTTGTCATTAGTTCTAAGGAACCAGTCTTCTGCCATCTGCAAGGTGTAGGCCACAGCAAAGGGTGTTCTGAAAATCGAGGGCAGGCACGTTTGTGAGTGTTTGATTCCAGCATGCGCATTTCTGCAGAAATCTGAGAGAAGTCAGGATGCGCGCCAGCGGCTCCAAGGGATCCCCTCCGACGATCTCAGCAGCGCAGCGAGCCTGCCCCCCGGTGCAGAAGCTAACGAGCCCAGCGCTCCCCCCGACTTCGACCCGCCTGCTCGGTTTGCGACCTTGGCTTCAGTTGAAGCTGTAAGTCCCGGTTGTGCAGAGACATTTCCATCCCGTTTGCACCTTGTCAATGGACATTCATGAGCTTCTGTAACCTGTCTGGGCCCTGAGATGCAAGCTCGATCGAAAGCGCAGAAAGTGGACGAGGTCTGTCGCTTCATATAGGAATTGGGAGTTGGTCCACACCTTGTCAATGGAAATGAAGAATCCAGTCTTTCACCCTTTGCAAGGTGTAGGCCAGAAGCAAGCCCGACCCTGGCATGCTCAGCACACAGTGAGCACGTACTTGTCGACGGGCAGCTAGCCTCTTCTCATTGTCGGCTCATTCAAACCTATGTTTTACGCCCTAATCTCGGCACCAATGAATACCGTTCAGCTGCAAGGTATGGACACAAGGAACCAAGCTTTGAAACTGCGGCGCATGTTTGCAGATCCGAGTGATGACTCGCTCTGACCGTGTATGCGTGCATGTGCAGGATCCTGAGGCAGGACGGGGCGAGGGCCACGACGAGCGCCAGCAGCTCCAGGCGATCGCAGATGAGGATGTCAGCCGCGCAACCACCCCGCCCCTCGATATAATGGCCGGCCAACCCAGCACAGCCCCCAACCAAAACGAGCCTCCTCGATCTGGGAACGAGGCTTCGATCGAAGATGTAAGTCTCAACCACTCAGAAGACGTTTACTGATGACCGATCAGATCAAAACGCATATGCGCCGCCTCTGGTCCACACCCTGTCCTTGGAAATAAGGAACCCAGTCTTTTGCCATCCGCAAGGTGTAGGCCATAAGCAAACCCGACAACACAAATGATTGGCAGAATTGCTGATGGGCACGTGTCCTGCCCCCGGTCCACACCCTGTCATTAGAAATCAGGAACCCAGCCTTAGCCATCCGCAAGGTGTAGGCCAACGCAAGCTCTTTTCGGAAGATGAGGGCAGGCTCGAAAGCAAGTTTCTGATTTCCAGCGTGCGCTTCGCAGGAAGTTGAGGGGAGCCAGGACGAGCGCCAGCAGCTCCGGGGAATTGCCGCTCAAGATTTCAGCTGCGCACCCATATCGCCCCCTGTTGTGGATGCCGGCCAACCCAGCACAGCCCCCACCCGGAACGACACTTCTCGACCCCGAGATCAGGCTTTCGTCGAAGATGTAAGTCTAAACCCTCAGAACACGTTTACTGATGCCCAATGTGATCACATGTTTATGCGAAGTGGAGACAGATTTTCTTTGTCAAATAGCACGTCGTTGTCTTCTCCATTGTGGACAGGGACGTCTTCAGGATCCGTTTCCACAAGATAGGTAACATAGGTAGGGAGAGAGCCCGGATCCCGGTCCTCGAAGTCGCCATCCTCTGCGAACCCCTCGAACAAGGGCGGCCAACCGTTTTTGCATCACCGCGCTTGCCTATCTGACGAAGGTCGTCGATCTGCCCAAGCTGCTTCACGGAGCAGTCTTGTCCTGTCGCAAAGCATTCGGTCGTTGCGGTCAAGCTGAGTCAGATTTGGCACCAGTACCAGCTGTTGCGGTTGGAGACATGAGATTCTGCCTTTCTTCAGATTAGCGCTTCTTTAAATACGATTCCCGCAGCCGCTGTATGTCTCCCAGCAGTGACACGGTCTGGTTTCTTTCGTGCAGGATGCCTCATCAGTGGACCCTCGCCTGTGCCCCGGCGAGATTGTCGTCCACAGCGAGCACGACGGGAAGTTGCTGACCGTCAAGAAGGCCGAGCTAGGCACCTTCCTCTTCGCCAAGCGCAAGTTCGACGACAAGGTCGACTACCAGGACGCGAAGAACGGGCCGCAGGGTTGCTGCCGTCGTTACGGCGAAGTGCTCGGCCATCAGGTCGAGATCCGGCGCCTGCGTCCCTCCCGGGAGTTCGGGTCTTACCCGGATTGGCCCTCAGCCTATCCCAAACTGCGCGGCGAGCCTCATCTGGAGGAGGCCATCAAAGCGGGGTGTCCCTGCAAGCCGTACCTGGATCTGGAACGAGACGGGGGCCTGCCGGATGGGGAGACCCTCGAGACGGTCATTGACGCCTTCGAGGGGGCGATCACGGGCATCTTCGAATCGGAATACGGCCAGGAGCTCTCAAAGGAAGCCTTCAACTGGATCCCCTGTGATTATGGGCCGGGTGGCAAGTTTAGCCTGCACCTGGTCATCTCCTCCCACTCCCCCCAGTTTGTCTACCGCTCCAACCTGGCGCCCCCAGCGGACCCCCAAGGAGCGGGGCATCTCGCGAGAAAGCTCAGCCAGCTCTTGCCCGACCGCTACGCCGAGCTCATCGATCAATCGGTCTACACCAGAAACCGGGGGATCCGACTCCCCTTCTGTTCCAAACCCTCTAATCCTCGCAGCCGCCTGATTCCCTTGGACGAGAGTAAGCCGTACGCGGATGCCTGCATCACCTGGTTCGATGACCACGTGCAAACGATCAATGTCCCCGACGTCCTGTTCCGAGCAGTGCGCTCTCGCGAGAGGCCAGAGAATTCAAGCCACCTAAACCCCAAAGCCGCGAGCATGTATGAGGTGCAGCGGTGCACGGAGCTCATCCAGAATCTGCACCCAACGGCGTACCGCAGGGGGTCGGCGAACTCGCTGAACTACAGCTGGCACGATCGGAGCGAGCCGTGCTACTCGGGTAACGTGCATGCCGGGGGGCGGGACATCCTCTGTGTCGCGGATCGCGAGAGGAACGCCGTGTTCGCGGTGTGCAGCAGCGAGCGGTTCGATCCGGAGACGGGTGTGTGCTGCAAGGACCTGCCGGCCAAGTACCTTGGGCCGTACTGGGTGGACAACAAGACCTGGAAGGATGGTGCTGTGGAGATCGACATGGAGTACTTGGATCGGGACCCGTTGGCTGCCGCACCCATGAATCTGGCGCTGATCCGCGCCGGGGTCAGTCCTCTGACCGACAAGGTCGTCTTCAACGACATCGTGAACAAGTGAGGCCGTGCACTCATGCTTACAAGCCGTCGACGTGGCAGTGTTGCAGTGTCGCTTTTGTCAGTGCCGCGAGTCTGGCCGCTGACCAGTCCCTCACTTGAAGATTCTGGTAAACGGGTCCACACCTTGTCGTAGGAATGAAAGAATCCAGGCTTTTGCCACTTGCAAGGTGTAGGCCAGGTGCTTTGTGGGTATTTCTACAAAGAAGCGGTTGCTGGGCCGATTTAGGAAAGGCTTGTGGGTATAAAATTGGCTTGAATGAGTGGCTGGAAAGTGCGAACGGGCCCACACATCGTTCTTGGGATCTAAGGAACACAGTCATTCATCACCGGCAAAATGTAGTCCACTCTGACGATGAGAACAGGCTGCTTGATCAGTCATGGAAGCAGCTTTGTGAATTTGGAGTGGCTGGAATAAGTGGCTGGAACGTTTGAACGGGCCCACACCTTGTCATTGGAATTAAGGAATCCGGTCTTTCGCCATTTGCAAGGTGTAGGCCACAGGCAAACTAGACCGCACCACCGCGACTGGCAAAACTGACACATGGGTACGTGGGCACATGCCCCGCCTCTGGTCTACACCCTGTCATTGGATATAATGGATCCAGGCTTTTGCCTTTTGCAAGGTGTAGGCCATATGTGAGGACAGGGATTCTACCGTTTCACTTTTGCTGGTTGACCGGCTTCGAAAGATGGAATCAAGTGTTCTGTCTCACCCCTTCGTGCAGGTGGCTCGAGGGCCGGTACAAGGCTCTGCCGATCAGGAGTCCCATGGGGAGCGGCAAAAGCACGCTTCTCGCGGCTCTTCTCGCCGAGGTCTCCAGATTCAAGAAGGTCTGCATGATCACTTACCGCCGCACGCAAGCTCTCGATGCGGCGAGCAAGCACCAGGCGTTCTCCCACTACGAAGATCTCAAGCAGGCGGATGGACGTATGCTCGGCGATCGCTTCATCCCCCCTCTCGCCGACCGGGAGCTCCATCCCCGCGTCATCGTCCAGCTCGACAGCCTGCCCGGGCTGATCCCTGAAGACGACGAAGACGCCCCCGCGTTTGACCTACTCGTTCTTGACGAGAGCGAGTCGATTCTGGCGCATTTCTCGGCGGACACGCTTCGCGAGAGGCACAGAGTCATTCAGCTCCTTGTCGAGATGATGAGAAGAGCGCGGCGGATCGTCTGTCTGGACGGGCACTTGGGGCAACGGACGTACGAGTTCCTCACGATGAACGAGATATCATACTCCCCCGTGGTGATCAACAAGCATGCTCCTGAGAGGCCCCTCGAGATTGAGTTCCTCCAGGGCAAGAACGAAGGGCTTGCCAAGTGGGAGGGGGCGATTTTCGAGGCGCTGGGGGCTGGTCGCAACGTCTTTGTTGCGAGCATGTCCTCGGAAAAAGCGCAAGAGTTGGGGGCGACGGTCGTGGAGCGGGGTCTCGTCGAGGGTGACCAGGTCCTCATCATAACTCGCCACTCGGACGGTGCAGTCAAACGAGGGCTGCAGGATGTGAACAGGCAGTGGCGGAAACGGCTCGTGATCATCAGCCCCACGGTCGAAGCAGGCGTGGATTTCAACCAGGACTGGTTCCATCAGATGTTCTTGTACGTCTGCCAGAAGAGTACGCACCCGCGGGGACTCGACCAGATGAAGGGGCGTGTTCGGAAGTTGGCGAATCCACGGGTCTTGTGTTATGTCCAGGAGGGCATCTGGCTGCCAGTCGAACCGGGGCCATCAGGGGGTGGGTCCTCGAGGGAGACGAGCAGGTCGGGTAGCAAGGCAAGGCTGGGGGTCGAAGAGACCTACCAGTGGTTCCTCAATCAGAATTGCAGGGGCGGGCTGAACTGTGTGCATCCGATAACCCGACTTCTCGCTCACAACGAGAAGGAGATCTTCAACGGGCAGACGCATTTCTGCGAGGAGTTCACAGACTTGCTGCAGGCGGACGGACACGTCATCGTCAAGAACGTTTGCGTTGACGAAGAGGCGGTCGAAGTGAACGCGGGCCCATCAGAAGAAGGGGGGCGTGGGGGCAAGTATCTTCTGGAAGAGATGATCAGCGCCCCAAACATCTCGCATGCCCAATTCGTCGACATCGAACGGCGTTCTCGAAAGTACGAAGATCGCCCAGGGGAACCGTGCAGATGGAGAAATTTCAGCTAGCACGGTTCTACGACGTCCCGTACCTCAGCGAGGAGTTCTTGCGAACCTTCGGGCCGAAGCCGATCCATGCCCTCGACTTCCTGGAGCAGGTGGTCGACGAAGACTTCAAGTACGACAGAAACGAGATCGGGCGGCACATGTACCCGCCTCAGATGACAGCCATGGCCAGGGAGCTCTTGACGGTCATGGGATTCGAGCACGCGCTCGATGCTGCCCACGAGACCGATACTCTTAGCACAATGAGATCGCGTCTGGCCGGAACGGCCTTCTTTCGGAATTACTCGGAGAACGTCAAGCTGTTCCATCATCGAGCAGCTAGCGTGTCTGACGTTCTGGTTTATCAGAAGACGGCCACGATTGCTCTGAACCACGTCTTCTCGGCGTTAGGGTTGCATCTCGAGGCAAAGAAGCTCGGCAGATTGGAGGTGAGGGATGTGCAGAGGGCGGAGAATGGAAACCGGAAACGGCTGTACCGATACGGAGGCTGGTTCCTGTCGCGAGAACCTCTGCGGACGACTCGGCCCGTGCAAGGGCCCCCGGGGGTGAACCTGATGTGCCAATTGTTCAAGCTTCGTCTGGCGGATTCGGAGACTCTCAGGGAGAGGGTTCCGCCGGCTCTGCGGGAGTACTTGGACGGGATTCCGTTCCAGTGGCCGGAACTCGTCCAGCACAGGAGATGTGGTATTATTGTGGGTCCAGGAGAGGAGTAGAATGTCGTCGACAAGAACCCAAGTCTGAAATGCAAGTCAAGTGATTATAGGCTACCCTGTAGTCCGCACGTTGCAAATGATATTTGGCGATACTTTCTTGGGAATTGTGGATGGTGTAAAGTATTGGGGATGGTGTGGATCAACTTTATAGCTTGCTTGTTGTCTTGTATCATTGTAGTCTTGTTGGTGGTACTCACAATAATCGGTCGTCCTGTGCTGTAGTTGATGATAGGAGATGCGCATTCATACAATGATTTCTGCTTGCCTTTTGCCTTTGTTGGCAGCAACTATAACAGGGGTTTGCTTGTGGTCTATACTGTGCAAGTCGTCTAGGACTAAATCCTAACAATCAATTGCAACGTGTGGACCGTATTGTGCAATTAACAATGCCGCATGCAAATGGCTTGGTTTTGCAGACTTGCCGCCTAAAGACTGAAGTCGCTGTATGGTGGTAGCAACTCTCGGAGCCTATTTGAGCACATTAAATTACCCTCTTTCGCGGAATCGCATGCCGGGATATGATGAATGTAGGCTAGATGGTGGTAGTCTTTGAGCATGAATCCACCGCATGTGCGAGGAATAGCACTATGAACCCGAGCCTATACATGGCACTTGTAAAAGCGGTTTGATTGTATACATGGGCCATCGTCCACTTAAGCGAACGAGAGACCGGACTCTCTGCAATCAATCCGAGTCTGAGTCTGAATTAGAATCAACCGATTCTGCCTTCTTTGCTTGGGCAGGCTTCTTTCCGGCGGTATTTGTTTTGGGCTTCTGAGTGGCTTTACTCAACTTCGAAAACTTCTTCGGAGACTTCATACTTTCGATATCTTCAATCTCCATCTTTGTAGCTATACTCTGAAAGGTGCCCTCGAATGGCAGACCTGTTGGGCGATTACTTTTCTTCACCGGACCGATCTCGACCGAGTATCCATATTTCTTGTTCAAGGAACCTCGTGTGGTCTCCTGTATAAGGACAACTACCCTCTGTGGAAGAGAAACCTGTTTCCCCTGACATTTCTGCGTTCGAAACAGTTGAGATCCCGCTCGGGCCCCTGCTTGACAGACGCGCCCCTTCTTTGCATCGATTTCAAGTCGCGTATCCTTCAACAGAGCAAGGGCATCATTCCCCTTCGAATCGTAGGCAGCAATCACCCGAAAGCTTCGTTTCGTGGATTCCATATTGGATGTTTGGTGCATTTCTAATGATAAGTTCGTAGAAAATAATAATCCCGCCCCCTAATGCATATCTGACCATGCGGATTTAACAATCCCCGCTGCAAGCGATGATATATAGTGCATATGGAGTGAAACGCATGCGGAGAAACAAAGAAAAAGTGTCAAGTGCGTTTTAAATAACTAGTTATTCTCTTGAGAAATCTCGAGATTTCTCAACAATTTTCGGCCCCCCGCACGCAGTTTCAAGAAAATAACCGTTTAGGAGAGGTTTCGATGTCAGTTTATTGCGACCGACCTTTTTGAAATAAATTGTTGCGAAATGAAAGACGTTATAAAAATATTTTCTTGCATCATCGTAGACGGGTGATAAGTATGGATACTCTACGAAAGGTCTTAGCTGATGGGATTAGGACCGAAAGTTCCACAGAGCAGTATCTCAAAGGGATTCAGCTTCTATGGAATATGGTTTTCGAGGATAAAATGCCCGAGGACCCCTCGTGGATAAAGAGCAAGGCTCAGAGTATCGTTGCAGCCGTTCTAGAGCGCTATGATAATCCTGGAAGCAGGCGTACTCGTTTAGCCCCTTTTCTTGCTCTTTGTCGCAGACTCGGTTATGCGGAGGCTTACCAAACCTACTATGAGCCGTTTCGGAAGGAAAACAAGGCTCTTGTCTGAAGGAGTCCGCTCAACGAAAGATTGAGACTAAGACCTCGGATGCCACATCGGAGATGACCGTTGAAGAGGTCGAAACACTTGGAAAGAAGCTTGCACGCAAGGTTAGACAGTTGAGTCTCGAGGACATGAATCGAGATCTCACTCCTAAGGAGGTGAAGATCTGCATGTGGCATCTCGTCCTCGAATGGCATATGCTCTTGAGTAAGGAGCATCGTCGTCGGTTTAAATTGCACGAGCTTCCAATCCTGCGGAAGGGCCAACAGATCGGGGGTGCGAACTATTTGCTGCAGACCTCACGACGCAAGGGAGATTACAAACTCGTCTTCGAAGCCGGGGATCGAATCCCTCTTACAAAGATGCTAAGCAAGTATCTTCATCGAACCCTTCGATTGATACCTCGAGATTCCTTCTTGACTTCGATCACTCAGCCGCAGACGGCTATGTCCGCTAGTAACTGGTCCATGTTCATGAGTAAGATCCAGTACAATGGAAAGCGCTTCATTCCAGATCGACTCTAATACGTTCGTATCTTACAAAAAATATCTGTGAAGATTAGTAACAACGAGGCGGTTTCACGGCGATGGAGTCCAACTTCGAAGCAGAGGTACGCAGAAAACTGAAGGTCCAATCTCCGGATAAGGCTCTCCGTGGAGCTCCGCCAAACAGATCAGATTCAACAGTGTCTGTCTACATCAGGCAACTTAAAACCGTATATGCGGCTGGAGACTTTGGACCGGACGTGATGAACGGTCTCGACTGGATCGAGGACCACGAGCATGTGATTTCAACCATAGAGAGTCTCACGTCGCGTGACGGCAAGCTTCTTAGATCATTGACGAAGAGTAATTATGCAGCCCCTTTTGCTATTCTTGCTTCTGGAGAGACGCAATCAGCTTACTCGAAGTACATGCAGAGGATGAAGCCAACCGAGGAGGAGCTCGATCATTCTATGCAGAGGAAGACGCCGAAAGAAGTCGACAATTGGATTCCTTGGTCCGAAGTCTTAGAGAAGCGATCGGAACTTGATGACAAGATCAGTCGCTATGTCGTGCCAAGATTCCATAAGAAGGAACGCTTAGATCGCCATGATAAGCAGCTGGTGATGGACCATCTGATCCTTTCCCTCTACACGATGCCGCTAGGACCTCTACGGAATGAGTACGCGGAATGCATTTTTTTGATGAGGGAACACGAAAACGATTGCGTTGCGATCAAACCGGGTGACATCAACGTCGTCGAGTTGAACGACGATCCCAAGAAGTGTTTCTTTCACATTGGTCGACACAAGACTCTCGAAAAGGATGGCGTTCGTTGCCTTGAAATTCCCGAAGATCTCGTAAAGGTTATACTCAGATCCTTCAATCTGATTCCTCGAAAATACTTGATTCTCAAGAGGCATTATCTCGTCTGGAAAGATGAACCGATATCGAATTTCACCGTAGTTCTCAATGATCTTGGTCAGCGCCATTTCGGTAGAAACCTCAGCTGCACTTTGCTTCGACACATCTCACATACTGAACAGAGTCCGAAGTTGATGTCCCGTGGTGAAGTGAGAGCAAAGGCGCAATACATGGGCCATAGCATGAGGACTGCGGATGAATTGTATAACAGACGATTCGAGTGAAATGTGGGCCAACTATGCAGATTGTTCGCGTTTTCTGAGAATGAATTTTTCTGTGCTACAATCATCAGGGAAGTTTCAATTGCGTCCCGGCTATGGAATCATCGAATCACAAACACGAATCGACTGCGTGTGCTGCTTGTTTAGAGGCGAGCCTCTATAAGGATGAACATCAGGCTAAGAAACGAGTGTATTCCAAAAGCTACTATCAGGTGCACAAAGACGAGATTCTCTTGAAAAAAGCTCTTGAGAGGATTGCAAAAGGATGTAAGACGAGAAGACGTACGAGAGAGGGGCTGAACGAGACACATATTGCAACCCCTTGGATCCGATCGTACTAACGAACGAGGCTTCACAAGATCCCGAACAAGCGCCGCGTTCTTTTTCGACAAAAATTTTCTGGGGTTGAAACTTATAGGGGGCTCTTGACCCTTCTTCGGTCTTTGAAAAACATGACAACGGGTTCGATTGCCAGTGTGTTGGAAGCATATGCACAAGAAGGGTTGTACGCTGTCCCCGCAAACGTGAGAGCAAAGGACGGATTGAAGCACATTATAACGATGCCTCATACAAGAGGCGATGACGCTATAAGATCGGCCTCTGATTGGAGAGCGGCGGGAGGCCGGATTACGCAATTCATTGAAAAAGAACGATACAACTTTCTGGCTGTCAAGACGGGGGCCATTTCGGACATCTTCGTGCTCGATATTGATGTACGAGACAAACCGGAGAAAGATCTTCTAGCTGGCATGCCACTCTGGAACGAACCGATTGCTGAGCACGGAGAGCCAGACACCTTGAAGGCCGTTTCTGCTAGCGGAGGCTTTCACTACTATTTTTCATATGGTTGTTCCATTAGAGATGGGCTTCAATCAGGAAAATGTTTTGCTGGAATTGATTACAAGGAGCATTACTTTGGCATAGACGCACGTGGAGATGGGGGCATCGTTCTGGCTCCACCGGGCTCACCTGGAATCGGGTTGAGTTATACATGGTGTTCGAAACCCATAAGAAGCAGCATCAGAAGCGCTCCATCATGGCTAATCAAATTTCTCAATGATTCAACCGGGAGGTCTTTCAAGAGGAGTCTCGCGTCGGCCTGCAACAAGATCCAAGAGCAAGCAGTGGACGGCTCCGAGCTCGAGCAAACAAGGGGGCTCGAATCGAGCACCGTTGAAGAAGATATGCAAGTAGAGGTGGATATCAATGTCCCCCACAATACACAATCACTTGAGCACGAGAAGATTGCTGACGCTATGTTGAATCTACTACAAGACGCTGGGCTCGCCACGAATGTTCGATTTTCTGGCAATGTGACCTTCCGTGGTCCGTACGGTATGCTCTATTCATTCATCTGTGACGGTCCCAGAACATGCATCCATGGCCATCATCATAACGGTAGCAACAATCTGACTCTTGTGAAGCGAGGGTGGAAGATCTTCTACCGTTGCTTTGGCAACGATTGCACAGACAAGCCTCTCACGGAGCTTGGAAATATTCCAATATCGATCTCATTGTTGGATGCCAATCCAGTACGCTTGCACCCCACTCATGATTGGAGTACCTTTCCAAATAATATAAAAACGTTGTCAAACGATGCTGTGGAAGCACAGATGACACTCATTAGGCGGAACATGACGCAACGCTACCGCGGACTAGCGGCAATCTTCTCAGCTATATGTCTCGTTGACGGACGCGTCATCGCCGAGGGGAAGTCCTTTCAATACTGGAACGGTCGTCGGTGGATCATCGACAACGCGTTCCATATACAAGCCGTGTTTAGTAACCACATGGCTCGTATTATACACTGGTATTCGAACCAGAGACTGAATGCTTTCAAGCGAGAGATTTGTGCACATATAAGAGGCTCTGCAACACGGCATAATGCTTCGTCGACGATAGAATCAGCCCTTCCAGACTGGGCATTTGATCCAACTACCGATGAAGAAAGAAAAGCATGCAGTACCGCATGGAGGGTAGTCAACAAAACGTATCCTTTCCCAGCAAAAAGCGATCTGGTGGATCTAACACGGGGATCTGAGATCCGTGTGTGCCTCGAATTCGTCATGAATTCCTTGCAAGCTCCTCAATCTCTGAGCGAGCTGATAAAAATTGCCAATCCGTTATTGTTCGCCTGCGCTAACGGTGTCATAGACACCCAAACGGGAAAGTTGCTCGCCTTTCATCCTGCTCATCTGTGTTCACGTGCGTCGAAAGCGACTTTCCGCGGAATGCCAAAGGCCGGAAGCCGATTTGAGAGGTTTTTGCTTGATTGTTTCAACGATGACAAAGAAGTTCTCGAATGGTATCAGCTCTTCTGCGGCTATTGCATGACCGCGGACATGAGCGAGCAGATTTTTCTTGTCAAACAAGGCGCCGGATCTAATGGCAAGTCGTTGACAAAACTGGCAAGTCTCGAAGTTCTTGGGAGCTACGCTGTTGTTATGTCCGACGATTGGAGTACACATTAATGGCGGGCGTGAATACCAAAAAGGTGTCTTTCTGAAGTCATTCTGGAGGCATTCACGTGAACTTCTTTTACTCCCTGAATGAAAGGGTGCGCAGGCAGCTATACTCACCTGCCATCCTCTTCGACCATTCCCATGCCTTCAAACATTCAGGATTCAGATACGGTCTGAATCCGCCATGAATGAATGCATGTAAGTGCGCTCGA